AATATCCAAAATATATAAGAAACTCCTACAATTTAATAAGTAAAAAGCAAAAACCTAGTTAAAAAATGAGCAAAAGACCTGAATAGACGTTTTTCCACAGAAGACATACAGCCAACAAGTATATGAAGAGGTGCTCAACATCACTAATTACCAGAGAAATGCAAATCAAAACCTCAGTGAGATATCACCTCACAGCTGTTGGGATGACTATTAGCAAAAAATTGAAAGATAACAAGTGTTAGTGAGGATGTGGAGAAAAGAGAACCCTTATACATTTTGGTGGGAATGTAAATTGTCATAGCCATTATATAGAAAACAGTCTGGAGTTTCTTCAAAAAATTAAAAAGAGAAATACCAATGTGATCCAGCAGTCCTATCTAGGTATATAGCCAAAGGAAATGAAATCACTTTCTCAAAAGATGTATCTGCACTCCCATGTTCATTGCAGCATTAGTCACCGTAGCCAAGATACGGAAACAACATAAGTGCCCATGAATGGATGAATGGATAAAGGTGTGATTTATATATAATGGAATACTCTTTAGTCTTAAAAAGGAAGGAAATCCTGCTATTTGCTACAATATGGGTCAGCCTGGAGGATATTCTGCTAAGTGACATAAGCCAGACCCAGAAAGGCAAATACTGTATAATCCTACTTACATGCAGAATCGAAAAAAGTCAAACTCATTGTAACAAAGAGTAGAATGGAAGTTATCAGTGGCTTGGGGGATGGAGGAAATTGGGAGATATTGGACAAAGTACAAACTTTGAGTTATAAATTCTGGAAACCTAATGTACAGCCTAGTGACTATAGTTAGTAATAATGTACGTATACCTGAAATTTGCTGAGACTAGATCTCAAGTGTTCGCACCACACACAAGAAAATGGTAACTGGGGTGTTGAATGTATTAGTAACTTGTTTCCGGTAATCATTTCATGGTGTATACATAAAACATCACATTACACATATTAAATATATGTAATGTACCTCAATAAAGCTGAAAAAAAAAGATGCTAATTAAACATCCTAGTCTCACTTCCTTAAAGCTTACCGTGTTTCTTCAGTTTTGCTTTCAGTTTTGTGGGAAAAAACAAGTGATACCAACTATGGGAATAAATTTCTTCCTGTTCTCGGTAAACTTAGTTTAGTTGGAGAAATGACAAAAGTGAAGATTTTGTAAGGTAAGGCTATGTAGTTCTGAAATTATGGTAGTCATTCTTTAAAGGTAAATTATAGGTAGGAGTAAATGGAATAGATGTGGTTAATTTAGTTTTGATGTGGGAAAATGATACACATGGAATGTAAAGGAGTTCAGTGATGGGTTCACTCTAGAATTACATATGCCTCCAAAGAGTCTTTGTCAAAGTACAGTGGGCATTTTAAAGAGTGCTTTGAGTAACACAGTAACAAGAATAGCTCAATAATAATCTTGCAGGTGGAATCTAGTAAAAATGTAGCAATATTGATTCTGCTTTAAAATTTTTCTCATTTGTCTTTGTGCAACGTATTACCCAATCACCTGAATATAATTTGGGAATTTTTGTCTTCATAGAATAAAAATAGAACATGCTTGTATAGTTACTTACAGCAGACCTTTGTCATCTCTCATTTTCTTTCAAAAGACTTACTAAACTATAATAGATGCCAGACAATTTGGGGAACAGAGTTAAGTAAAGAGAATGTGTAGAAACCAGAGAAATGTTCTTTAGGGGAATATTGACCTGAAGCCATTCCATATGTTATTAGCACAACTTAGTATGTATTTGAAACTAGAGATTTTACTAACTCATTTTGAAAATCAGTCCTACAGGAAGGCACAAATGGGATATTGATATTTTGGTTTTTGCTTTTTACATTTAGAGTTCTCCCTTTAGTACCTCTTTGTTGCTATGTATACTTCTAGTGTGCTTTTACCACATTTTGCTTATCCATTCCTCCAGTGATGGAAACCTAGGATGCTTCTTACCACCAAAGATGAAGCTTCAGAGTACATGTTGGTCTTAATGGATAATTTCTTTACTGTATACACACACACACACACACACACACACACACACACACACACGAGCAGAATTGCTGAATCATGAGATTCAGAGTTTGGCTAAATGGTGCAGCCAGATTTCTCTTCAGAAAAATTACCCCAGGCTATAATATTACCAGCAGTACTGGTTCCTGCAGGTGTTGTTCCTTTGTCTCCTCACTAACACTTAGCATTGTCTCCAGCTTTCTAATTTTTACCAAGTAGAATAGCGTGATAACTCTTAACTCATCATATGGCTAATGGCCAGTTGATTTTTCTCTTCTGTAAATTAAATATTTTTGTCCTTTGCCCTTTCTTTGTTGAGGTTGCTATCTTTTTATTGTGAATTTGTAGTTAAGTTAGTTCTTGATATCTTCAATCCAGAAATAATTAATTTTGAAGTAATTGAAAACACCATTTTTTGGTCTTGTGCTTTATGTTTTTTTCATTTTAAAGTCTCCCTGCGGGAAGTCTGGGTGGCTCAGTCAGTTGGGCATCCAGCTCTTGATTTCAGCTCAGGTCATGATCTCAAGGTGATGGGATCAGGCCACACATGGGGCTCTGTGTTCAGCATGGAGTCTGCTTGTCCCTCGCCCTCTGCTTCTCCCCCCACATACATTCACACTCTCTTTCTCTCTCTCTCCCTATCTCTAAAATAAATAAATAGAATCTTAAAATAATAATAAAAATAAGTCTTCCTGGCCCCAAGTTATAATGATACTCTATATTCTTGTATTATATTCTTTTAATGTCATAGTTTGCCATTCTCACTTAAGTCTTTCATCCAACATGAGTCCTCCTTTGTATGTAAAATTATATAGGTATATATACAGTTTGGTTTTTCTTTACGTAATAAGCCAGCTTTACCAATTTTTTTTAAAGGTTTTATTTATTTATTTGACAGAAGGAGAGAGATCACAAGTAGGCAGGGAGGCAGGCAGAGAGAGAGGAGGAAGCAGGCTCCCCGCTGAGCAGAGAGCCCGATGCGGGGCTCGATTCCAGGACCCTTGGATCATGACCTGAGCCAAAGGCAGAGGCTTAACTCACTGAGCCACCCAGGTGCCCCAGCTTTAACAATATTATGTACTAAATACTTTCATTCCTCCTTGATTTATGTTCTAACTTTATTTTGTACTACATTCCAAAACTTTATATGGCTGAATTTCTGAGTTTTGTTCTGTTTGATTGGACTATTTGTTCCAATACACTGACTACCCTATTTTAATGTCTGTGATTTTTGTAATATGTGTTAATGTCTTATAGGCCAAGAACCTCTTGAATAATCATTTGTTCCAATATTTTTAAATCACCTATGTTTTTTATTAGAATTTTACATTTTTCATAGAGGTCTTATATATTATTAAGTAGTTTCTAGATCCGTGAGAAGTTTGGGGCTGGGTTTTTTTCTCACTGTGAATATGTAATACATATTTTTAGTTAGTATTGCTTGTGTAGAAGTTAAAAGTTCCTCTGTTCAAATCCACATCATGTCACTTAGTAGAGGTATGGCCTTGAGCAGGAAACTTAAACCTCGTGTTTAAAATGAGGGAATAAAAACACCTGTCTAATAGGGTTGTTAGCAGAATTTTAAAGGAGTTAACATTTGCAGTTCCTAGAACAGTAAGTGGTATATACTATATAATAAGTAATGAATATCCATAGATTAATCTCAAATCCAGAAACTTTGTTGAGCCTTTTTATTAACTCTAATTGTTGATATGTTAGGTTTTTTTAATTTGATGACCATATCATTTGTAAATTGTTGCATCTCTTTTCTTCCAGTTCTTACACCTGTCATCTATTCTTTTTTATATTATTCTTATTTTTATAGCATTGATTGGGACTTTTGGTACTGTATCAGGCAATATCAGTTATCATGGTTATCCTTATCTCATTGTATTTTTAGAGGGAATATATCTAAATTTTCTCCTGTAGGTTATATTTGCTAAAAGTTTTTGGTGATAACATTTACCAAATCGAGAGGGTAACTTTTCTTCCTAGTTTGGTAAGAATTTTTTGTTTTGTTTTGTTTTTTGTTTGTTTGTTTTTAAATATTTTATTTCTTTGACAGAGAGAGAGAGAGATCACAGGTAGGCAGAGAGGGAGAAGGCTGAGCAGAGAGCACAATGTGGGGCTCCATCCCAGGACCCTGAGGCCATGACCTGAGCCAAAGGCAGAGGTTTAACCCACTGAGCCACCCAGACACCCTTTTTGTTTTGTTTTTGAAGGAACTAAGAAAGGTTAAATATATACACTTGATGAAAATAAATTTTTTTTTGCTTTATTTTCTTATAATGGTGAAATAAATTTATAAATTTTTTTGAAGTTGAGATATTCTTCCTTTTCCTGGGATAAGCTCTATGGAATGGCATATTCTTTTTTTTTTTTCCTTTAATCTACTATTAGATTTTGTTAGGTATTATTTGGAATTTTTGCAGGTGAAATGAGCCTGTACTTTTTTCATTTGGTTCATCTTTAGGTTTAGAATTAATATTTTGTTATCTTCATAAAAGGATTTGTCAGTTTTTATGCTTTTTTCCTTTTTTCTGAAACAACTTAAATAAGTTAATTTCCTTGGAAGTTTAGTGGAACTCATTTATAAAACCATATAGGCCTAGTGCTCTTAAAAGGAGGTTGGTGCCTTTTCATTTTCTTAAACACTTACTGGTTTGGTCTTTTCAAGTTATCTACTTCTTCCTATATGAGTTTTAGAATTCTCTTCCAGAATTAAGCCATTTCATCTTGATTTTCCCATGTAGTATATATTTGTCTTTTTTTTTTTTTTTAAGATTTATTTATTTGTCAGAGAGAGAATACAAGCAGCGGGGAACAGCAGGCAGAGGGAGAAGTAGGCTCCCCATTGAGCAAGGAGCCCAGTGCAGGGCTTGATCCCAGAATCCTGGTATCATGACCTAAGCCAAAGGCAGACGACGCTTAACCAACTTAGCCACCCAGGCATCCCGTGTTTTTAAATTTTTAATCTATTTTTTTGTCTTTTTGTGTTTTTAAGTTTCTCGATAAGTTTCACTAGTTTCACTTTTCTTACTCATATTTTCAAAAAACCATCTTTTAGTTTTATCAGTCTTATGTATTTGTCCTGTATGCTATTTCATTTCTGCCTTTATTTCCTTCCTGCTTATTTTGCTCTTGATCTTTTCCATTATTTTGAATTGAATGGTTAACTTGTAGATATTTAAACCTCCTCATTTCCTCATCATAGTATTCAAAGCTATAATTTTCTTTTAGGTACATGTTTCCCCGTGTCCCACAAATTTTGCCTTGTGTGGTTTATATTAATTCGGTTTTAGTATTTGATATCCTTTATAATTTCCATTTTAACCCATGAGTTACTTAACTTCCCAACATAGAATTACTTTTAATTAACCTTTAATATTACTTTTACTCATTTTGGTGAGAGAATTTAGTTTGAATGAAATAGACCCTTCAGAATCTAGTTTTACTTTATAACCTAATACATTATCTGTTTTCATGTGTGTGTATGTGCACTCTCAAATACCTGTTCTGTTTGGTATAGAGTGCTGACTACTGACATAACATCTAAAGTGTATTAATATTTTGACTGCTGTCAGGCTTCTTCTGTCTCCTGCTTATATAGTTCTGTCCATTGTTACTTGAGAAATTTTGAGGATGTGCTTTCAGGATCATAAATGTTTATGATGAGTACTATATAATTTTATTCTGTTCCTTTTACTGGTGTTATTGTCCTTTGTCCCTTAGATCTTTTGACTTGAAATCTTTTTTTTGGGTATTAAGATTGCTTCTCAGCTTTATTTTGGTCCACAGTTGCCTGATAACATCTTTTTTCATTCTTTTACTTTTTACCTTTCTGTGTCTTTTTGCTTTGAAGTATCTTCTGTTGATTGCATATTATTGAATCTTGTTTTGTTTCTTTTAATCCAATCAGAGTGTCTGTCTTTTAACCATGAGCTTAACCTGTTTATATTCATTGTAATTGTAATTTCTGCTATATTAAGAATTATTTTTTAAAAAAGGAATTATACCTGGTGAGGGAAAAAAAGAGATTTATATCTCTCTCTCATATCTATAGAATATGGTTATATGACCACAACCTTTGGGTCCCAGCAAGAGTCCTAAGTAGCTCTATAGCCAGGACAGGTCCTCTAAAACTAATCCCAACAAACTCATCTAAAGGGTAAAAAGTACCTTTTACAGCTCTCTGTCTGGAGTTTGGGGCATAAAGGAACTGCTTTTGCAGAAATAATTTTTGGGGATAGAACAGTATACTAAAAAATAAACTGACCCAGATATGTACCAATAAACGATTAGGATGACCCCAGGCTCTCCTTCCCAGGAGTCATTCCCAGTAGAAGAATCTGCCTAAGAGTAAGACAGAGAGATGGAAAAGCCCAGTAAGTGTTCATGTTCAGCACCCATGTTCTTAAATACTCCATATAAAGTTAGATGGAAAGTAATGTTACCCATTGCTTTCAGGCTTTAATATCATTTCTCTAGTCTTTTCATTCACAGGTTAAAGCTACCTTTCCAGATAGTTCAACAACTAAGTCACCAGTTTCCAAGGGCATTTGCACCACCTCTGGAGAACATCGGATCCGTGTAAACCAGATGTCCCTGACAACTCATCCACCGTCTCCCTGCACAAAATTTGTACCACCAGCGGACAACAAAGGCAACCATTGTTTCTTTTTGTTACCAAGTAGATATAATATCCCTACCAACAAAACAGAATACACAGTATTGTAGAAGTGTCTCCACAGTATCACGACCAATTGAGAACAGGCTAAGAAAATCAGCTTGCCTAGATGAGGACCCCTTCTCTTCTTGGGTAGCCAGGATTTGAAGGAGAGACTCTGACCTGTACCACACTGCTGGTAAGTGACTTAACACTTTTACACACTGAACTGGTCCTGAGAACTGAGATGTCTTCTTTGTAAGTGAAGAATATACAACATAATCTTGAAGAACTGCAGTGTGATAATGAGCCAAAGGCATACTGTGTGTGTGTAATGGACTGACAAGATTAATCTTGCTGAAGGATTTTTCTACCTTTTGTTTCTATTTGCTAGTTTTAGTCAATATTTTGCTGGCTTAGATTGTTACCTTTTTCTAGTTTCTTCTGTTCTAATCTAATGGGTCCCAGAAATCCCTCTCCTGACCCCTTATCAGAATCAGAAAGTGAGGGAGAAGAAAACGCTAACTACCTAAATGAGAGTTCTGGGCAAGAGTGGGATTCCTCTGAAGAAGAAGACCCTGTGGTGCCCAACCTCACACCTCTTGAGAGTCTTGCCTGGCAGGTTAAGTGCCTTTTAAAATACTCTACAACTTGGAAACCTTTAAATCCTAATTCCTGGTTATATCACGCTAAACTCTTGGATCCAAGCACACCAGTCCATATACTTCGAGAAATAGGTCTAAGACTCTCCCATTGCTCCCATTGTGTACCCAAACTGGAACCCATTCCTGAATGGCCTCCTCTGGCTTCTTGTGGAGTCCCACCTTTTCAAAAGCCCCTTACAAATGCCAGTCGGCTTTCTAGAGATCATGCCACTCTTAATGGAGCGCTGCAGTTTGCCACCAAACAGCTAAGTCGAACATTGAGTAGGGCCACTCCCATACCTGAATACCTAAAACAGATCCCTAATTCATGTGTTTCTGGTTGTTGCTGTGGCTGGTTAACTAAAACAGTTAAGGAAACAACCCGCACTGAGCCCATCAACACTACATACTCGTACACTGACTTCCAGAAGGCAGTTAACAAACTCTTAACCACATCACTCTAAAGACCCACCATTTGTTCTGATCTCTCTCATATTGCTCATTGAGGAAGGAAGTGCAAAGTCACACATACCACAGTTGAGAAACAAATGCCTTTTCAACCAAACCATGCCCTATCCTACAAGCCCGTAAGTACTACCAAGTATAATGGTCCCATAACTCAGCTATAGAAAATGTATGGTGAGCATGCCCTTTGACAGACCCTGTGGATAAAAAGAGAACTTCAGTAGAAAATTAGACCAAAGGGACCATATTACAAAAGTTAGGTAGACTCTTGTCCATACTCAGTTCCCCCACCAATTTGTTCTGCCTCTCTGAATGGACTCTTGACCCGATGTCTCATTGTGAACAGAAAGGAAGAAGTAGTAGCTCCCTATCCCTTTTGTTACCTAACCTTCAGACTAGCCAGTGGGGAAAGAAGGAACTTAGCTACTCCCAATAACACCTCTCTGAGCATACTCTTTTCTACCATTAGTGTCTGTGAGACAGTTGCATGAATTTGAATTCCCTAGACAAAAGAAAATGGTGGGGCTATGGATTTATCTCCCAGCTTTTATACAGATAGGCTATATATGGCACCCTTTAGGGTTCCTGTTTTGGGGGGAGGGAGTGCAGTTTCAAACCTAGGCTGCATTTCTTCAGGCCTGTTATATAGTACCTGCAGTTACAGTATAAACCTTTATATCATAGGTTCCCACCATGCTGTCTCTAGCTACATTGGCCTAAAGATTGCAACCAGGGGTTAAACAGACACCTGTTCTGCAGGGAATAGGTTTCCCGCATCTTGGCATTCAGACTTTAGTCAATAGCACATCACATTTTAAAAGACCAATGGGAAAAGGATTAAGGGCATTTATGCTTTCAATATTAACTGCTAGTGAATTAAAATATTTCATCTGTATAACGTTCTCAGCAGTACTTTATGCACTCTTTACATCCATAGAAATTTCAGGAAGTCTTCTAACTTTAAAGAACTTACCACTATAGTATATCTATCAGAAGTTGGAGTTTTTAGCTTCATTGTTTTTCTACATAGATCAGCTTCAGATTTTCTTTAGCTCAATAAGGAAGAGAATGTACCCTTGTAAATGAATCTTGATGCATTTATTTAAATGAATCAAAACATAGAAATCATACATAAAAGAAGATGTATGGGACCAATAAATCTTTTCACATGTCTACCATAGAATAAAACCTGTGTGTGTGATCCTGGTTGACTGGGCATCTAAAAGGAATCAGAAAATAGATTGTTAAAGATCCTATATCCTTTCATTTTACTTTTACTTTTTCCTGTTCTCCATAATTAAGTACTGTATATGATGTGGCATGAAAAAAAATGGAAGCATTAATGACATCACAAATTCTATACATGTATGGCAACTTTAGGAGACAGGAGAATGTTTATAATCCAATGAATATTTCTACTGAGCCTTAGTTCTCATGTCTTAAGGAAAAAAGAGGGACTTGTAGTAGGTAGAAAAGATATTTGTTAATGGAAAGTTACTGAAAAACCATATCATACTGTTAGTGTAACTGAATGTATCGGAAACTGTTCCTATGTATGGATGTTCTGTGAAATTGGGTTTTTAAAGTGTTATAAGAACCTGTTCCCTTTTTTTTTTTTAAGGGGGAGGAGGGAAGAGGTAGGGAGGTCTGAAAATTAAAATATATTGATGTTTATGTAACCATAATATGTTCCTTTTTCTGTGTATGTATATAAAAGTGCCTTGCCATGAAGCGTTTTTACTATTCACTCTGAAAGGAAGCCTTTCCCCAGCTCTGCAGCTGAATAAACCAACAGCTTTGTACATGCTGAACAGAGTATAATCATTTGTTCCCAACAAATGAGGTAGACCTTGCTTTTCTTAAAGCATATTCAATATTCACTAAGTGCTGAATAGAGTCAACTGATTGGATAGATAGGTAGATAAAGAAAGAAAGAGAGAAAGAAAGAAAAAGAATATAGTGTTTCTGATAGGAGGTGACTTGGCAGCTCTAGAAAATCAAACATACTTGTAAAAGAAAATATTCAGTCAAGACCTGGATTTGAACCCATTTGTTTGTATATGTTAAATAACTACAGGTTACACAAAATGAGAGATACCTGAAAAAGCCTTAAGCCTTTACTTCTTTTTGTGTGCCATGGACCTGGGGTTAGGGGTGGGTTTACCACTTTCACCCTCCCCCCACAAGGGATTAGGAGAAATGACAAATTTACAATGTTTTCATAGAAATATTTATCAAAGGAAACAGGATTTCTAAAGCAACAGACATTAATATTATTTAAAGGTATTCTCACAGTGCAGATAGGCAGCCTCTGAAGCAGTCCAGATACTTAGAGCACAGAAGACCATAATCATGTCTTTTAAACCCATCAGCTTTCCTAAGAGAAGGAAAAAATTGGTATGTATCTGATGAGGGACAGATTTAAGTTGCCTTTTGGGGATTATCCTGATGGGACTCCTATCATAAGTATCCATTTAAAAAAATTTCTCTATGATGAAAATATTCTGGTATTAAAGTAGATTAGTAAAGCTGTTAGGGAATTTAGAAATCAGTTGGGTTATTTCCTTACTGATTCATAAATTCTCTCTTCTGTCTCTGTTTTCTACTTTTGCCTTCAGTTTTAGAAAAATTAATGCCTTTTGGAGCAGGCCATTACGTTTACATGTCTCTTGTTAGAAATTTAGTCATTCATCTAATAACAGTATGGAGTGCCTACTATCCAGACCCTGGGAGTGCAAAATTAAATAAGGTACTCTACATAAGAAGTTTTAAAATATACTGAACTGGGGTGTCTGGTTGGCTGAGTCGGTTGTGCATCCGACCTCTGCTCAGGTCATGATCTCAGAGTCCTAGGATAGAGCCTGAGCCCCACATCTGACTCCTTGCTCAGTGGGGAGTCTGCTTCTCCCTCTCCCTCTGCTCTTCCACTGCTTTGCTCTCTCTGTCTCTCTCTCAAATAAAATCTTTTTTAAAATAATATACATTGAGCCAATATAAACTACCCCAAAGCTTTTGGCCATTGATGCTATTTTTGCTTCCTAGGGTCACATTAAATTAGCCTAATGCTTATACAGACCCTTAGATATTTGTAAATGTGTGGCCATCCAAGTGTAGTGGAAAGTTGCATGGAGGCCACACTCCAATAATGAAACCCCGAAAGGGGTAGTCAGCTTGGGAATAGATAAAGAGGTCTTTTATACACAGATTTAAGCTGTATTTGATAAGTTCACAAGGCAATGGCACATAAAAATCAGGGACAGGAGTGTTTTGCTCATATGGCTAGGGTGCATTGAAAAGCCCAGAAAGTTTGGATGCCTTGTCAGACTTCGTGATACAAGTCTATGCAAGCTCCTGGCATATGAGTCCACCAATGAGCAATATCCACTGGACTGAGGGAAATTGAGGGAGCTGTACTAGCTGACACCAACCACCAGGTATTTCTCCTGTGTCGAGTTGCTGTTATCAAAAAGAAAATCTCTGGCATGTCTTTGCCAGTTTTAAACAAAGTTTAGTTAACAGTTACATGTTTGAGTCTGATCATTGTGCACAGTCTATAAATTCTTCCTTTCAATTGGTGGCAACAGTGGGATGATACAATAGTTTTGGACATGAGACCAAAAAAATGGGGAGGATAAAGGTAACACAATGACCTGACACTTGCTGGCTATGCAACTCCTCTTCGCTATGGGAACTATGACCAACTCTTCTCAGATGTGGGAAAGGAATGCCTGATTTTAAAAATAATTTAATAGAGCAGGCAGAGAGTCCCAGAGTTGTTGCTTCCAAATAGCATGGAGTCAATTTAAAATGGTAGTGACAGTTTAGGGTTGGATCTTTAAACAAGTTGAAGTTTTGGCAATTAAAACTAAGTTCCTAGTATACACAGAAACCAAGTTGGTGTGGTATCAAGTTAGATTTCAGCAGAAACCAGATGAAACAGAATCAGTGTTGTAGTTTGTAAATTCAGGAGCTTGTTCTTACTTCAGGGAAAATACGTTTGGGTTAACTGCCAAAGTTATGCTTATTTAACACTAACATTCCATCCATAGTGTCAAGTGTGGGACCTGACACCCCAATACATCAACTGGTGTTTCTCAATGTTTTAATTAGGCAATAGTCTGGAAGGGATAGCTTCCTTTGGGAGGCACCCAAACATCTGGAACAGTCCAAGGGTATGGCCAGTTTTCATAAAAGAATACCCTAGATTGGCTTTATGATTGCACCCTGAACAACTAGAAGGACTTGATCCTACACCAGTGGCAGAGTTCCGGTGACACAAGGGGCCAACACCTAGAGAACTAAATTCTGTGTTAATTGAAAGCATTAAGGTTGGCCACAACCAATCCATTCCACAGGACTTTATCACACAATGGGTTATATGGTGTCGCCCCCCCCCCCCCCCCAGCTACCTGCCCGGTAGTAATGTAGACTCCCAGTGACTTGAATGCTTTGGTCCAGATCCCACTTTCCCTCTTTATATTCCACTTTTTGATGTTGGTCACTTTCCTACACATTGTTTTCTTTAATTATGTTGGGTTACTGAATCAGCAAATAAAAATACAGGACGCCCAAATAAATTTGAATTTCTGATAAACAAGAAAATATTATACCGGAAAAAATTACTTATCTGAAATTCACATTTAATCCATTTTTTTATCTGGCAACTCTATAAATGTGTTAATAGCATTTAGTGGGTTGTAGTCATGGAGTTCCGGGAGCGCAGTCTAATTCTGCCATTATATGTTGCCTACTTACCTCCAACTACTTGATGTGGGTTAGGGGAGAGGGAGACAAACACATAGTTGACCCAAGAATAGATAGATGTGAGGTGGAAGGGAAACCCAATTGCTGGTATGAAAGTTTTATAGGAGACACATTTTATTTGGCTAAAATAATCGCATAACCAGTAAAACATTTACAGACACACATTTTTAAAATCCTGTCGCAATAATAGGTAGGTTAAGTTTGTTGTTGTCTGTGTTCTGTTTGGATTAACTGCTAAGTTTTAAGCCATGTTTTAAGCAGTTAATTTCTCACCTTGCTTAAAAAAAAAAAAATACTCGATAGGTAGCACAGTTGTGGCAACCATTCTGCATTGCAGGAAAGATCCACACATTTGGAACACTTATCTTTTCCTTCCAGATCCCCCAAAGACTTAAGGATTTGAAGCAGGTTACTTATTCTGCTTTCTAGCCAAAGATGGGAGGCTTATTCTCTGGACAAATCAAACGGATTAGAACTGGGACTTGAGAAGAGTAGTGGTGTTAGTGAGGTGTTACTCTGAAAACGGGAGATGGAGAAAATGTCGGTATTCTGAATATGGGCCTTCAGTTCCCTTCTCCAACTGGCTAATTGGCAGTTAATTAGCTAGCTCCAAATCTGGCAGCTAGGTTTATACCCAGTCCTACCCACCCCAGCCAGAGGGGTGAACAATTATAAAAACAACTTGCCACTTGGTTATTTGTTACAATAAAACCCAGAGTCCACTCATACATAGCTTCCAGGCTCTTATAATCATGATAAACTGATAGCCAAGGATCAATAGACATTGGCTATTGAAATGAAACATGAAGATCAAAAGAACCAAAAACCTGGAAATAATGCAAAGAACATAAAACTCCCAGAAGAACCTATTATACCCTCAGAAATAGGAGAATATACTGCAGCCATGAAATATGAACAGGATGCTAGAAAAAATGAACAATCAGAAAATAAAAATATTGGAAAAATAGAGCTAGAATTAAACACTCAGTAGTTATGTTGGAAGATAAGTTGAAAAAAATTCAATAAGTAGAACTAAAAGACATGGAAAATAGGAAAGAACAAAAAGTAATTTCAGAAGATCAGAATGGGATACACCATCTGATTAGTAAGATCTCCAAAATGAGAACAGAGAAAGGAGGTGAAAAGAGATAATGAAATTAAAGAATATTTCCCCAAAATGTAGGACATGAGTCACATAAATTAAAAGGATCCACTGAGTGCCCAGCACAATGAATTAAACACAGAAAAGCATACCATGATATTTCAGGATGCCAGGATTAAAAAAGATCCTAAAAGTTGCCAAAAGGATGAAACAAGAGTTACTTTTGATATTTTTCACAGGGCACCTGGGTGACTCAGTTAAGCATCCAGCTTTGGATTTTAGGTCAGCTCATGATCGCAGGGTCCTGGGATCAAGCCCCACATGTGGGGAGTCTGCTTAAGAATTCTCTCTCTCCCTTCCCCTGCTCTCTCTTTTTCTCTTTCTCAGATAAATCTTTAAAAAGATATTTTTACAATGGTATTTAGATTTTTTTTAAAAAAAGATTTTATTTATCTGAGAGAGCACGAGCAGGGACAGAGGCAGAGGGAGAAGCAGACTCCCTGCTGACCAGGGAGCCCCATGCAGGGCTCAATCCCTGAACTCTGAGCCGAAGGCAGATGTTTAACTGACTGAGCCACCCAGGCACCCCTGATATTTAGACTTCTTGGTAACAACACTGGTTGAAGGGAGACTATGAAAGCAAGCCCTTCAAATATTAAAGGAAAAATTATTTCCAATGTAGAATTCTGTACCCCAACAATCCAATCAAGCAAGTATGGGGCTAAAATAAAGTTTAGACTTGCCTGATTTCAAAATTTTACCTTTTTTTTTTAATTTTTTATAAACATATATTTTTATCCCCAGGGGTACAGGTCTGTGAATCGCCAAGTTTACACACTTCACAGCACTCACCATAGCACATACCCTCCCCAATGTCCATAACCCCCCCCCCCCAACCCCCCTCCCCCCATCAACCCTCAGTTTGTTTTGTGAGATTAAGAGTCACTTATGGTTTGTCTCCCTCCCAATCCCATCTTTTTTCATCAAAATTTTATCTTACCATATACCCTTTCTTAGGAGGCTCCTGCAGAACGTGCTTCACCAAAACAAAGGAGTAAATCTAAACAAGGCTTGGGATCTGGAAAAGAAGACCTCACGAAGGAATGCAATGAAGGAAAGTGCTGGGATGGCTACCAGGTCAAGTAAGTAGGATGGGAGTTTCAGGAAGTAGGTCTCTAGGAAACTGGGAACAAAGTGAGTACATGGAAAATGCGGAAAGGAGCGAGACAGATGTTGGAACATTAGGGAAAATCAAAAGGATAAGTTCATGGGATACTAGACTAATGTTAAAAGGAGGCAGTTAGAAGTACACCAAACACACATTTTTGGATTTTGGATGATGGACACATTCTGGAGCGTCACTATGTTATGAATATAAATCTCAAATTTTATTTCAGTTTTATGTAATTAGTTATTACGATTTTAGTAGTCAGATTTTAGAAGCTTGACATTGAAAATATAGTAAAATTGTAGTCGTGTCAGCTATTAGATTGCTTCTTCAGGTATCCTACTCCACAACTGCATGAGACGCTCCAGTAAACCATGCACTGCAGAAGGCTTTTTCAGGGGGGAAAAAAAAAGTTATTATAACTTTTTTTGTAAAAAGAACTTTGTCCCTGGCTTGGGAAAAATCTAAAAATTCTCCTCTTTACAAAAATGATGCATAGCCTATAGTAGTACTGTCAGCATCATTTAAATTTTAGCCTCTGTTGATTCAAAAGCATAAGGAATTACCTACTTTAAAAATAACATTTTGAAATTTCATACTATTTCTCATCTTCCATACTGTTTTTGCTATCAAGCTACAGTTAAATCTAGTGACAGCTCCATAATATATTCCCATATAATGCTTTAGGGATTTTTTCTGAGTTTTGATTGAAGATTTTCCCCATAATTTATGTCATTATTATATAATCAAATAAATTTTTACTTAATTGCAGATGATTATGTGTGGTGATGTGTGTTTTTTCTTTCATCAAATCTGTTG